TTTCTTTTGTTTCATTTCCACCTAAATGTGAATATTTGATGGATGTCAAATATTGCCGTTTCAATCTATCTGGATATTTTCCAAGGGGTATCACATCAGACTCCGTCTTTGTAAAAGAGAACCCTATGGAATCCTCCCTAGGTAATGCAGCTTTCTTTTTGTATCTCCATCGCCTTCATGATGGGCTCTGCTTGTTAAGTGGCAGTTCCATATAGGGGATTCTGATAAAGGCTTACAGCTTTTTCTATCTGGCTGTTGCTTCCATTTTCGAAGAATTACACTTATACTATTAGAGCCTTTGCATGTAATTTTTTATTTATTTGGTGTCTACCTTGCTGGTTTTCTGAGCATTTTGCTCTTAATACCATATCCAGCCTTCTTTTTCCATCCTTCTTCATGTATTACATTTAACTAGTTTTGTTTTGTAAGAGGATATATGTACATAGGCATTTGTTTAATGTCACTATCTTTTATCTTTCTTTAGAAGTCAATAACAGAATTTCTGCTAGTTTTCTTGTTAGCCAGAATCCTAAATGTTAGAATGCCATTTGAATAGCAAACTCACATTTTGAATCTCACAGTGGGACTACTGATGTACAAATGAGAACTGATGGTTTGTATTTGTTGCATCATCAAGATACTTTCTGACAGAATTCAGCATAAAGTCAAGATTTTACAATGTGTAATGTATGGGTGAAGGGAAAGCTTTCCCTTAGTCCTTGAAAGATTTGTGAAAGACTCAGCTCACTCACAAAAAGCAGATTAATTGGAGAAAAGGTATACAGATTTATTTGATCTTAGTTTTACGTGACACAGAGGATCCTTCAGAATGAAGACTCAACCATTTGTTGAAGCTTGAGGACCAGCGGTTCTCAACCTATGGGTTGCAACCCCTTTTAACAGTGAAAGTACAATGCAGCATTAGGAAGGTTGAGAACCACTGTTGTAGACCATTTTGAGATTTTGGAAATAATGGGAGCTTGGATTATGGCAAAACAGGTTATGGGTATGAGAAGTAGAGGAGTTTTGTTGCGGGGCAATAAATGAATACTAGGGACAAGTCTTCTGCTTTTGAAGACTGTAGTGGTCTGGCATGAAGTCTTGGGCTTGCAGGGTGGACAGTGGTTTGTGAGAAAAGTCTGTTCAGGTCTGTTGAGAGAATTTAGTTTTCTTTTTGGTGATGTGGATTCAGTTAATGAAAATTAAGGAAACAAACCAAGGGAATTGTGTTTGGTAGGTTCAGACTTCCGGCAGATATGGAACTTCAGAGAACAGCTTCCTTTGGGAGAGACTGGGGAGGAGGGTGTCAGATTTGAGGCTTTTTTCCAGTTCAGCATGTACATATACCCGGTATTTTGGGGTATGTGTTTCTTATCCCCGATAGTAAGAATATGGAAAAATGAAGAGATTTTTGTAAACTGAAAGTGGATATGTGGGGTTTCACTGTATTAAGTCAATACGTGAGAGCCACTGTGAAGTTTTCAAAACTTTTTGAGTCCCATTTCTTCCCTCAGTGGCATCATTTTTCTACTCTCTTCAACTCAGCTGTAAACATTTGCATTTTAATCATAAATGAGGGGAGTCAGGGGAGGAAGCAGGTGGACTTTGTGATATATCTGCATAGCTTGCTATGAAAGGAACCTGATCTATCCCAGCCTGACTTAGTATAAAGTCTACTGCATGAGATCCTGTACTCTTGAAGTCCCCAACCCAGCTGCACAGCAGGAGGTGAGTGGCTAGCCTGCAGGCAAAGCTTCATCTTTATTTACAGTTACTCCCTGCCACTCACTGATTCTAAATTATTTATATATTACAATGTAAAAATAGAAATAAAGAGCACAATAAATGTAGTGAGTGAACTTGAATCATCCAGAAACCATTGCCCTCCTTCCCCTTGGTCCATGGAAAAATTGTCTTCTATGAAGCTGCTCCCTGGTGCCAAAAAGGTTGGGGACTATTGCTTTATTCACATCCTCAGATCAACATTCTCTCCTACATTCTCATTTAAAGTAGGCCTTTTCAGTTGTCCTCTCCTCCAGTGTAGTTAGTTGGCTCCTTTGCTTTTCAACTTTTTTGAATTTTATATTCTCTCTATTGATAGCTTTATACTTTTAAATTTTACTTTCTTACATTCTAGAATGTTTCATATGCCTCTAATTTTAAGGATGACAATTATTCCTTGTCAGAGGCTTCATCATAGTACTGTGTTATATATCAGGTAGTTACCTTTAAAAATGCATTATAGAGAAAGAAGTTAAAAGAGTCCTTGGTGTGTCTATTGATTGACTAGCACCACAAAGCACTGCCAGCAAGGGATAATCTGTGCCATTAATCCAGTTGCTCATTTGAGAAAGAAACCTAAGAATCAGTCTTGCTTACTCCACTACCTCCTTCTCTTCGCTAAGTCCTTTCAGTTCTTTACTCATTTCAGATTTCACCACTTGTTTAAATCTCTCCCATCCATGCTGCCCATCAGTTTTTTATCAGAATTGCAGTAATATAAGTGAACTTCCTCACCACTTGTGCTCTACCCATCTTCAAGATTTGTTCCATATTCAGCGAAAGTCTTTAAAATACCAATCTGATCTTGTTAATGCTGCCATTTTATATCTTCCAATAGCGTTGCACAGTTCTAAAATCTTCAATAAGGCCTTATGTGATTTGTATGTTACATTTATCTCATATTTTATACCCATTCATCTCGTATTTTATACCCATTCATCCTCATCATTGCATTGCCTTTACACTGATGGTCAGGTGCAGGTCTATAGCTTTACCAACTTCCCTCCAGAACAGGAATC